GGGCGAGCATGTTTGGTGTGACGAGGATTCGAACCCGCGACCCACAGATTGCGAGTCGATCACCCTAACCACCTGGCCATCGCCGGCCAATAGATATATATCGGTTCTGTTAAACTGATATATAATTTATATAATTTGTTATATATACATGGTAACATCTCAGTAGCATCTGCCTACCAGGTAGGTACATTGTGAATTTGCAGTCACTTGATGTTATTCTATCCCAGCAAGTAATTATTGAGTTTTTTTACGAAATATGTAGGATCAATAGACGTATAATTTCCCATTAATTTTTATCTTTTATTTCGTCGCAATCTCACATGAGGCCTCAACTTACCATTACTCGTTGTTAGCCAACAATATTATATTTAGGTTTGATGTATCATCTTGCTGCATCGATATAAATGATGTATACCGAAATTATATGGCGCCCATCCAGGCGACCCCCCCCCCTTTCCACAATCCTAGATCCGCCACTGTCTTCAAACATATGCGTTTAATCAATATGGACTTTGTCAATAGCAATTGTCGACTATCACTGTAATGCTGTGTACATAAAGGTGGCTAAAAATTCGATTTACACATATGTACTTTATATATATGCTATTACATCTTCTAGACATATGAAGGAACACTTTTTCGAGGGTGTCTTCATGGTTACGGAAGGTACAATTGGGCAGATGACAGTACTTACGAAGGAATGTTCTACATGGACTCTAAGGAGGGTTATGGAACTCTCTGTTTTCAGAATGGTTCCAAATTCCAAGTAAGTTCTGAAAGAGACAGTCACAGACTTTATTATTTTTTTGGCTTCATAGAAGACAAGGTAGACACCAATTTTTGATACAAATTACAGAGTTAAACCTTTATGTTATTCTATCCCGGAAAGTATTTATTGAGTTTTTTACAAAATATGTAGGATCAATAGACGTATAATTTCCCATTCATTTCATCGCAATCTCACATGAGGCCTAATATTATGAATATGACTTATTTATCAAGAAATAATTAAATGCAATATAACCCAATATAATATAAGGAATCTTATTGAAACTTTTATCGAGACATGTTATAAAATGTCACTGTTGTACGCACAAAGGCATTTTGGGTTTAGAAAATGAAAAACAGGTGTATTTATGACGTCACTATACTGGCGGAAGTGGGGGAAAGAAAAGGGAGATGAGATCATGTCTAATGTGATATGAAAATTAATATGCAAATAATAATTGATAATCACTTTTTAATATCTAATTAATGTTTTATTAATTAAAGGTCAATTAATTAAATGATTAATATGTAATTGATATGCAAATAATAAGTTAATAATCACGTCTTAATATCTAATTAATGTTTTATTAATTAAAAGTCAATTAATTAGAATGTTGATATCCAAATGATATGAAAATTGAAATTAATTTATATGTAAATGATGACTAATATTCACATCTTAATATCTAATTAATGTTTGATTACTTAAAAGTAAATTAATTAGATGATTAATATGTAAATGAAGTGCAAACTGAAATTAATCAATATGCAAGTGATAGTAAATATTCACATTTTAATATCTAACTAATGTTTTGTTAATTAAAGGATAATTAATTTGATAATTAATATGCCAGTAATAATCAAATTTAATATCAACTTATTTTTTACTAATTAATATGCAAGTCCTTGATATCAACGGATGTTTTTTCAAGAAATCAGACTGTTTTCACTGAAACCTTTGGTTCAGATCGTGGCTCCATGGAAGATATACTTTTGTATTTCAATAATGTGACATCTATTACAAGCTGAAAAACAATACACATATGACAAATGATAAAGTTAGTCAATGAAAGTTAATTATGCAAAAATATATATACAATTATTGTGACTGACCTATTTAATAGTTATCATTTCAATAATTAATCTTTATACATCCTAGAAATCCTTGCAGATTAAAATGATGATTTGAACGAAGCATGTCAAGTATTACACTTTTTCACTGACAATTTTCAGTTTTCTACTTACCATCTTTCAGCTATCTTCGATGACCACACTGTCCCACCAATTGTGTTTCCAGGCAAATGTGATTGCTCTCCGTTCAAATAATAGTTAGTTTTCTCATTTTCAATTTTCTTGACTATCTTACTTGCGAAGTAGTGAATATATGCTATCTTCAATGATCGCTCTGGCTCCCAAACTTTTTGGGACCCGTGCTTTCAACAACGGGGTCGGGATTTTTATATGTCATCTATATTTATGTCAAACAAATAAATTAATAACCGTGTGGAATGGTATTAAAATGAATAGCTTGGTATTTACTTTATGGTAAACTTTGGTTTCCGATTTGTTATAAATAGATCGTATTTTCGAATCCCGACAAATTCTCCTTTAGTTAGATATTGGGATAGTCTACTGAAAATGACTAAAAATAAGTAATATCAAACTCTTCATTTAACAGAAATTTAGTTTCTCACTGTTAATAAAACTGATTATTTAGAGAAAACATTCTCGTTTTACAACAGGACTTTCCATCATTGCTTAAGTAGCCACAATTTTTGGGACCATCAGTGACCCATGATGTGATTTAATGTCCACCAAGCTTGTCTGTAAATTCCCCGAGATAATCACCTAGAGGAAGAAGGTTAGTTTCATCTGAAATGTAAACTACACTATCAGTATCGTAACTAACCTAACGTCTCTCGTGCGTGATATAATTTAAGACGAGCGTGAGAAGTGGTGAAAGCCGCCAGAATAATATTTGTTTGATCTTCCTGGGGCAGATACTTATGTTTGTGTTTCCAAAGAAGAGCAATAATTTCGTAACATCTATTAGAATCTATACTCTTTAACAGATGTTAAGGAAGTCAGTTGTGATCTGTCCTCAGACATACCCCAACGACCCCAGAAAGAGTTAAGACAAAGTTTGGCAACTGACCTTCACTTGGATTAAAATATATGTTTTCGAGGGTCATTTACACTCCTTCCATACTGCACAGTATAATACTGTTGCGTCAGCGAGTCACATGACCACTGTGACGCCATGGTTCTAGAACTATCTTGTTTCTTCATGAATGCTCTAGTGTTTGCTAGATGGGGTAGGCAGGTATATATAAGAGGGGAAAACGTGACACGAGGGTAATATAATGTGTGTGTAGATAGATAGTGAGTAATTGAACTGCAGTCAGAGAGAGACGTATTGTTGTAGTTAACGTTCGTTCGTT